CCAACCTGATCCCAGGCTTACAGCCGTGTGGGGAGAACAAACACCACTACACCTCCCCGGCTCAAAGTACGTGGCGCCATGACAGTGCACAGAAGGGGATTCGGCCTATTCCAGCCATCAGGGCCTAGGGATGTGATGCAGAGTTGAGAGCAGAAAGCTAAGTAGAGAGTAATTGGCCGAAGAAAGGGGCGGTGCCCGGTGGGACAGTGTTCCAGGCGGAAGGAATAGTGCATGCAAAGGCCCGTTGGCAGACAGAAATGTAGAGCACTCAAGGACCTGAATGAAGCTGTTCGGCTGGAGTCCAGAACCAAGAGGACAATGGTGTAGGGGAAGTTAGGGAGGCCACAGAAGTTCTTGTCCCTTTACAAAGGTGATTCCAGATATGACTCAGGAGAAAGGAGGTGTCCACAACACATATGCTCCTCCCAATTTCTCTCTGGCTGTCAGGAGCCTCAGCCCGCGCCCCCTGGGAGGGGCAGCTCTGTAGACCACTCCAGCTGCCTGAACCAGAGGAGGGCCTGGGGAGACCCCATCTGGGGATCTTATGAAGCCAGTCCAGGAATCTCTCAAGAACAGGATAGAGTTCATGAAGGCAAAGGGCAGCTGAAGCCACCAATGACCCACAGTACCAGGGAGGGGGACCATGAGCAAGCAGCACTGCAGAGATGCCCAGAGAGGCAGGGACGAGGGCCTTGGAGCCACCAGTGGCCTCACAACGGGCCCTTCACTCCCCTCCCACCTGGGCCATTGAAGCCAGGGCCACAGTGGCTCCCCTACCCAGAGCCCCTTAAGGACAGGGGTAGGCCCTCGAATAGGCAGTAAAAGTGGGTGGATGTCTGGAGGATGGAGGAATGAATGGACAAGAGGATGGCCCCCAGTCTTCTCTCCTAAGCTGCACAGAGGCCCTCTGGCCTTCCTCACTGGTGGCCCCTGTGTCCTTGTGAAGCTGGGCCTCTATGAGGCAAGCAGACCTAGGTTCGTGGAGCAGGGCAGCCGGGAGCTGCCAGCCAGGCGAGCCAGTGCCTGTGACGCCCACTCCCTCCAGCTTGGCTCTTGCCTGGTTCCTTGGGACACAAACAGGTCTGATGAGTTCCTGGGCAGCGGAGACCTAGATTTCCAGGAAAGCTGAACTCTTAGAGAGCAGAGGGAGGGAGGCCTGGGCAGAAGGAGGCCTTTTCCCAAATGTTCTCTCTCATCCGTGGGCCCCAGCCGCCTCTGCACGCAGAACTTTTCTCTTGTGTTCTGAGCTGGGGAGCTCCAGGCTGATGAGGACGCCTCTTTTCCCACCTCTCCTACAGGGAACAAGGAACAGGCCCTCCTTTTTGTGACTCCAAATTCAGTCCTTGCCCCTACATCCCTCTACTTTGGGTGGCAGTGTCAGGGGGCATCTACAACAGCAGGCTCAGAGCCAGGCTACCTGGGTATCATACGAAGCTCTGGACCTCAGTTTCCTCTCCTGCACCCACAGGGATAAGACGAATAAGAGCACACGCAGACCTTAGCCTGGCATCTGGAACATCGGATCCTAGGCTATTGGCATTTCTCCACTTGATCTTTGACCTCATCAAATCCTCCAGCCCTCAGTTCTCAGCCACCTTACTACCATCTCTGCCTGGTTCTGCTCCTGCCCTAAGTGATCAGGGTTGGTTCATGGGTTCTTGTCCCACCGCCTGCTCTCCCTGCACTGGTTCACATGGGCCCTGGGTCTCTATCCCACATCAGCCACTGCTTCCCTAGCATCCACCTGCCTCCTGGACCTCACCACTTCACACTCAGCAAGCCCCAAACCAAACTCAGCTGTTTCCCCAGAGCCACTTCTCCTGAGTTCTCTGCCCAGGGCATCATGCCGTAGTCACCAAATCCAAGTCCCCTCCACACCCATATCTCCGCCCTACCTTCTGACCATGCCTGCTTTTCTCTTTTCCTCCCTCCCTCCCTCCTTTCTTTTTCTTTCCTCCTCTCTCCCTCCTTCCTTCCTTCCTTCCTTCCTTCCTTCCTTCCTTCCTTCCTTCCTTCCTTCCTTCCTTCCTTCCTTCCTTCCTTCCTTTCTTTCTTTCTTTTCTTTCTTTCTTTCTTTCTTTCTTTCTCTTCATCTTTTTCTTTCTCCCTTCCTTTCTATTGGGATATAAAACATAAATATAGTCAAGGGCATTAAGTGCACAAATCTTAATGGTATAGTTCAATCATCTTTCATATATGTTTGTACCTGATATCCACCACCCACATCAAGGGACAGAGCATTTCCAGCTCCCATAAGCTTTTCTCATGGCCTCTCCTTCCCCACTTCACCCTTCGACTCCAGAAGTAACCATTATTCTGCCTTCCAATTCCATAAATTAGCTATGTCTGGCTTTGAATTCCATATAAATGGAATCATAAAGCATGTATACTCTTATATAAGATCAATGAACTAGAAATGAGAGTCTAGAAATCAGCCCACACATCTCTGATCAACTGGGTTTTGACAAGGGTGTTAAGACCATTCGACGGGGGGAAATAGTCTTATCAATAAATGATGTTGTAAGACTTGGATAAAAAATAAAGTTGGGCCCTTACCACATACCATAAACAAACAAACAAAAAACTCAAGATGGCTCAAAGTCCTAAATTTGAAAACTATAAAACATTTAGAATAAAGAAAATGCATAAAAGAATATTATCAAGAAAATGAAAATGTACCCACAGAATGGGAGAAAATTTTGCAAATCACATATCTGAGAAGAGTCTACTCTCTAGAATGTAAAGAACTATTACAACTCAACAGCAAAAAAGACAACCCAATTTAAAATGGTAAAAGAAACTGAATAAACATTTCTCCAAAGGTATACAAATGGTCAATAAGAAGATGATAAGGTGGTCAACATCATTAATCACTGGGGAAATTCAAATCATAACCAAAATGAGATACCACTTCACACACATGAGGATGCCTATAATTTTTTTAAAAGGAAGGAAAAATAACAAGGTTGGTGAGGATGTGAACAAAGTGAAACACTTAAACAGTACCAATGGGAATGTAAAATGGTGCAGTCGCTTTCAAAAAGTGCTTTGAAAAGCAGTTTAACAATTCCTGGAAAAGTTAAACATATAGTTACTATATGACCCAGCAATTTTACTCCTAGGTATATGCCCAAGAGAATCAAAAACATGTTCATACAAAAACTTGTTCATGAATGTTCACGGCACTCTTATTCGTAATAGCAAAAAGTGGGAACATCCCAAATGTCCATCAAGAGATGAATGGATAAACAAAATGTAGTTTACTATGCAATGGAATATTAGGTATAAAAATGAAAAAAGTACTACAACAAAGGCAGACCATTAAAACATTATGCTAATAAGCTAGACACAATAAGTCCTTTATTGCATGATTCCACTTATATGACTTGTCTAGAATAGGCAAATCCATAGGAAAAGAAGAATTGGTGGTTTCCAGGGACTGGCTGCAGGAAGGACAGGGAGTGCCTGCTAATGCGTTTCCTCTCCGGGGCATGAAAACACTCTGGATACAGATAGTGGTGATGGTTGCCCAACCCTGTGAATGTACCTAATTCACGTAATGCCACTGAATTGTATACTTTAAAATGATGAATTTCATGGTATGTGAACTATATGTCAGTAAAAAGTTTTATTAAAATATGCTCTTATAAAAAATTTTAAAATAAACTAAGTAAGCTTTTATGTGTCTTTTATGCCATGTAATACACGAAAACATCACCATGTTGTGCTGTGTATCAGTAGTTTATTCTTATTGCTGCGTAGCAATGCACAAGCATATTATCATTTATTTTTTATCAATTCTTCTCTTGATGGACATCTGTCTTGTTTCCAATTTGGGATTCTTACAAATCTGTAAATTCTTATACATACCTTTTGAAGGATGTATGATGGACATTTTTGGTGGTGTGTGTCTAGGGTGGAACTGCTGACTCAGGGTATGCATACATTTTAACTTCAGTAGGTACTGCCGGAGAGTGTTCCAAAGAGGTCGGCCCACCGCACACTCCTGCTACCAGAATCGGAGAGTTCTCTTTCTTCTACATCCTCATCAACACTGGTGTTGTCAAGCGTTTACTTTTAGCCATGAAGTGTGTACCTGACGGAAGTTTTCATTTGCATTTTTCTTATGAGAGACGAGGTTGAACATATTTTCGGGTCTTTGCTGGCCATTTGGATACCCTTTTTTTCGTTGTCTACCTGTTTGTTTGTTGTTTGTTTGTTTTGGTTATCTTTCCAGTATCAATGTGTAGGATTTTTAACAAGTATATCTGGGATATGAGATCTTTGTCACAATTTATCATTGCCAATCTTCTCCAGCCCAGTGTCTTGCCTTTTCATGTTCTTCACATTGTCTTGCTGAGCAGAAGTTTTAAATTTTGATGAAGTCCAATTTATGCACTTTTATTTTATGATTGGTGCTGTGTGCGTCCTATTTAAGAACTCGGCCTTCTCCTTAAACATGCCTTAAATTAACCCCTCTTTTCTGCCCCCTTTGCCTCTGCCAAGCTCCTAGCTTCCAGGGCCATCCTGGACTTGCTTCCTTCTGTGTCCCTACCCCGATTCTTGTCCTCCTCACTGCCTGGTCTTCCTGCCCAGGACAGCACTGGCTCAGGCTGCGTCCCTGGGACTGGCATTGGGTCTGGCACGCACTAGGTGCTCAATAAAAGCTTCATAAATGAAGGCAGTGTCCTGTGGCCCAGCTGGGGATCATTAAAACTGTCAATTAGTTCTAAATACTAGCTCATCAGGAACATTTGAGCAAAGCCAGGGAAGTAAAAAGTTTTGGAAAAACCAACACCATAGGAATGTTTAGCTTTCTCCCCAGCAGGAGCATTAATCACAAAAGCTCAGGCCTTGTTAACATTATTTATTCTTGCTTTGCGCCCCACCCACAAAGCAAGGGGGGGCTTTCCTTGCATATGTTAGTCATAGGAGTTCCCCATTGGCCGCCCGACCCCCAGTGTCTGCTGCCTCTGACTGTGGGGGTCCAGGACCCCCTTCTAGTCTTTCTCTTCACCATGCGTGATGACGTAGCATAGGTTCCTGTAGTCCAGGTTGCCACAGACATCTGGTGGGAAAGCCGTAAACATCTGCTTGATCTGAGGAAGGAGCAGGGAGTCAGCTGGACCAGGGCCAAATATGGGCCAGAGCAGGGGTCACCCAAGAGTGTCAGAGTGCAGATGGAGTTGTGGCAGTAAAGGACACAGAGGCCTGGGTCCCACAGCCACCCCTCACTCCCATTCTTTTTGTTCTCACCCAAGGAGTCAGGGAGGCATCATCATAACATCTAAAGAAGAGCGATCTGGGTGGGGTGGGGTGGGGTAGGGGTGACTCCTGAGAAGGGCAGGGCCGTGCCTCCCAGGGAGACTCTCAGCAGTGCTGAACGGTACCCTAAAAAGCCAGAGCTTACCTCCTCCTCACTGAACCGGTCTGCCTGGGTCATGAGCTTCTCTTTGATGCTGCTCAAGGGAGAGAAATAGTCATGTTCAGGGGAAGGGCCACCCTGTGAGTGGACACACAGATCCCGGGGTGAGGAGGGCAGGTGGGCTTGGAGGAGGAGTCCTGGCCCAGGAGGACACCAGTGAGTGTAGGGAAGGGGGTGGGGCTGGCCCTGCAGCCCCCAGAGAGCCATGTGGGCTCAGGTGGGCACTTTAGCTCAGCCTCAGTTTCTTCCTTTGTAACATGGACTCTCCTCCCAGCATCAAGTAGGAACCAAATGAAATGACCTTGGGACTCCAACATGACCTTGGGGGTCACTCTGATGTCTCACTGTGCACTAATAATTAACCTCAAGGCTACGGAGGGCAACCTCTTTGCCTTGATTCTAGTCGTACTGCTTCCCCAGTTGGTGATGGTTGCTAACATCTGTGTAGTGCTCCACGGCGTGCAAGGTGCTTACACGCAGCCCAGGGATGGGAAGGCCCATCCAGGTCCATGTCCTCCTGGACATGCCCAGGTGTCAATTTGCTCCCCACGGCCCTGGGAAGTGAGTGCCATCAACGCCCTTTACAACCAGGGAAACTGAGGCTCAGGGTGGGGGGTGATTTGTAGTGTCAGTGAGGGACCTGTTCCCCTAGGCAGCCCAGAGCAGCTGCCCACAAGAGCCGGAACGGCCTCAGCCGGAGACGACGCACGGAAGGTGAGTTTGAGGCCATGTGGGAAAGGCCGGTGCGTTAGGAGCTGGGGGAGGGCGCCCGGAGGGCTCTCTGGGGGAGCAGCGGGGAGGGGCGGGCTCAGGGGGCTGAGCCAGGGCCCTGAGCACCCCGTGCCCCGTGGTGCCAGCAACGGCAGGCCCTGCTAAGGCCCGACGCACATTTTCCATTATTTATGTTATTACAGGACAGTCACAGTTTCCAACTCTCCAAGCTGGGGACTTCTCACATATTCTGTTTCAACCAGAGCCTCCTCTGTGGCCTGACTGGCGAGCAGCCCCATCTTCCAGGTCCTCTATCCCTGGGCGGAGCCTTTGGTTCCCAAATTGGGTCCCCAAAGTTTTCCTCCCAGCCCTGGCCTTGTGCGGGTGCGAGTGAAGGTGGATGGCAGCAGAGGGGCTGGCCCGGGCCGCTCCAGGGGTTGCCCCGGTGCCTCCCCCAGGTCTCCAAGAAGCGGGTGGGAACCGTGTCCTCTGAGGGAGGGGAAGGAGAGGGCTGCAGCCTGGAGAAATCCTCATCACCCGCCCCCTCGGGAGAGAGTGACTCACATCTTTGGAGAGCAGGGGACAGTGAAAATGTGTGAGAGACAAAACAGACCCTCCCTTCTTTCCCCCTGCCCCCTGCTCCCTCCCACCCCATCTCCATGAAGTGATGATTCTGATAGGGAGCAAAACTAGTCTCAAAGCCAAGGCCTGAAGCATCATAGTAATTGGTCAAAGGCCTGTGCCCAGGGAGGAAATCGTGCCTGCCCAGGATCACGCACAGGTCCAGTGAGGCCTTGGAGGCTCTGGAGGAATGGCCAAAGGACAGCTCAGAGGTCACTTCAGTGTCCCAGCCCCCGGTCAGGTGGCCACTGCCCTGCCTGCCCCTGCCCTCTGCCCTTGGCTCGCTGCCCTGAGCTCTCACAGGGCTGAGGCTCCCAGACACGGCAGGCGTCAGTGCCCCCACCTCTGCGCTGCCAGCCCAGTGCCCGCTGGACAGCTGCCCACAGCCACCTTTCTCCCTGTGTATTCCCAGATGAGCAGGTCCCTTCCAGTGGGCCCACCTCCATCCCGAATCCACTCAGGCCCTGGCTGACATGTGACCCATTCCTCTCCCCAGAACCCTGGGCCCCTTTGTCTTTGGTTTCTGGTGTTTCACTTACCCATCCACTCCCCTCCATCTCAATGACCAAGGCCTTCATGGTGGCTGCAACCCTCTCCTCTCCTCCTCCCGGCTGGCCTCCATGCTGTCCCTGACTATGTCCTCCCCAGGCCCTCCTGTGCCCTCAGAGCAGACCCAGGGTCCAGGGCCTGGTAGATGAGCTGCGCCCTACAGGCCCTGCCTGCTTCTCTGTGCTCAGTCTCCCCCACTCACACCCCTCAGCCACAGCCCACTTCTCGCATACGCCAAGCCCTGGCACCTCACTGCCTATGATCCTGCATCTAGAATACTCCCTGCCTCAGCCCAGGCACCTTTAGTCATCCTTCAAGGCCCGCCTCTGCCCCCACCCACCCCTGCCCCCGGGAAGCCCTCCCCGGTGACCTCACACACCCTGTACACTTCTCCACGGAAGCGGGGACCCTGAGGCCCAGAGAGGGGAAGGGTCATCAAGAGACGGCTGAGCTGGCTGAGTTCTGGGCAGAGAGGAGACTGGGCTGCCACCCGCCCAGACCTCACACCAGCTCCTTTATTACCTGACACTTCGAAGAAAGGAAAAACCAAGTGGAGAGCAGCGGGGACTTACAAATCGGCCTTGATGAAACCTTTCCCTTCAGTGTCAAACACCTTGAAAGCATGGAGAATGGTCTCTTCCGGGTCCGTGCCTAGAAACAGTACACACAGGCAGGGAGAGCGCCCAAATGAAGAGAATGGGCAGGGGCTGGGGGGGAGTGGGAGGCGGCTTTGGGGAGCTCCTTCCTTAACGTCCACTCCACAGTGGGGGCCAAGCCCACTTGAAGTGAGAGAAGGGTCAGGGCAATGAGGAACAGTAGTGATAGCCGAGGACAGTGCATGCAGCGATGCACAGCCTGCACAGCTGTACGTAGAGACCCTGACTAAGCCCTTACTATGTGCTTAACCTCCTGGTGATTGGCCCAATTTGTCAGACAAGGAAAATGAGGCTCAGAGAGGCTAAGTGACTTGTCCAAGTTCTCACGGCTGATGCTGCCATGTGGTGAGTGAGGTGGGAGGGTACCTCTCGCACTTTCTCCTTAACCCAAGATGTGATGAGAGGCTGTGGGGAGAGGAGAAAAAGTGCTGCACTTGGGGGCCAAAGGCTGAGACTCAGGCAGTGGCACTAGAGGGGTCTGCAAGATTGTCTTGGCCAGAGGCCGGGTAGGTGGGCCAGCAGGCTGTGGGGTGGGGGACAGTGGGGAGGAGCAGTTGTGGTTTTATCACTTCCATAGCATGGGTTTTAGGAAAAGAAGTCATTAGAAGAAATAGTTTTATTTCCACAACAAGATTGGATATCCAGGCCCCTGTTAGTACAGATCGGGAAATCGAGGCCCAGGAAGGAAGAGTCTTGCCCGAGGCCTCACAGACTGTGCGAATGAGAGCAAGTGACCTGGTGACCCATATGTGGTGCCCTTTCACCTCTGTCATACTTCCCTCCCACTCACTGTGGACCACAGGATGTCCCCTTCCTTCTTTAAGGCTAACCCATATCACTGGTGAAACGGAGAAAAAGATGGTGTTTGCTGCTCCCTTCCCCAAATCAGTTATGATAATGTATCATTAACGGTAAGGATCTGGACAAACATTATTCCATCGCGGCCACAAGTACATCCGAGAGCTCTGTGCCAAGCTCCATCCCTCAGTTTCACTGTTTTATCCCATGGAACCGCCGGAACACCTCACATGGTAGGTACTAATGTTCCCAGTTTGCCAAAAAGGAAACTGAGACTCAAAGAGGTTCTGATATTTGTATGAGGTCCCCACTAATAAGGGGAGGAAGGGTTTGAAGCCAATGGTTTGGACCTCCAGAGCCTCCTGCTTGTTCTGCTCCTCTGGGCTCCAGCCCATCAGGCTGGGTCAGCCGTGGCTCCCCCATAGGACCGGGCGCTTATCCAGGACAGGATGGTGTCTGGGGCATCAGGCCTCTCTGAGGCTGGCCCAGAGTGACCAAGCCTGGCACCGTGCTGACCCTGTGGCCACTCTGCTCTGTAGACTTTGAACCTCATCAAATGGGTACAGAGTGGCTACATCCTCCCATCACTGTTGGGAACCTCATGACAACGTGTCCTTGTCCCAATTAGAGGGCCGAGATAGTGCCTGCCCAGCCAGCGCCGGGTCCTGTCTCCACTGCTGCTGAGAAGGCAGGTTCAGCTATGTTCATGACATGTTCAGCTGAAGTCTCAGTCCCTGTGTCCCTGCAAAAATGAGGATAAACTGCAACCCTGTGACCCTGTCTGCTCTGGTCGAAGCTCTTAGCTCAGCCACAGACCCACAGAGCCCTCCTTTAAAGTCGCTGGGTCATTGGCTAGAGCCATGCATGACTTTCGCTGGGAGTCCGACCCCTGCCCCAGGCCCCTGGGTTGCTGAGCAATTCCAGGAGGTGGTCATGGTCCCAAGAATAACTCTTCCTGGCTGCCCGGGGGTGGCCCCAATGGCACTCCTGAGTCAACTGGACAAGCTCCAGGCCCACAGCCTGCCCGTTCTCCTGCCCTCAGTTTCCTCCTCTCTAACACAGGAGGGTGGAGCTGTCCAGTCATAGTCAACTGTTGGCTTCCTTCTAGTCTAGGATCAGCCAGGACATTGTGTGTGGGACTATCGTACTTGTCAGCAGGTCACAACCCACAAGAGTATTACGGCTTTTCACCGAATAAAGTCTGTGCAGTTAGGTAGGGTAGCCCCTGTGGTGGGTTGAATTGTGGCCCCCAAAATATATATCCATGTCCTCATCCCCAGAACTGGGAAATGTCATCTTCCTGGGAAAAAGAGCCTTTGGAGATGTAAAAACAAAAACAAAAACAAAAAAACAAAAAGGATCTTGAGAAGAGGAGGTGATTGTGGATTATCCAGATGGGTCCTAAATCTTATGACAAGTGTCCTGTAAGAGAGAAGCAAGGGAGCCATGCAGAAGTGGGCCCTGGGGACAGAGATGGAGCAATGCAGTCACCAGAAACTGAAAGAGGCAAAAACCAGGTTTTTTCCCCTGGAAAGCAACTTCAGGAAACTACCATGCTGTTCATTTTACAGACAAAAGACTGAGGTGCAAAGAGCAGAGAAGGTCACCCTGGGGGACAGTGAGGGGCTAGGAATTGAACACAGATCTAGCAGAGGAAGGGAGGGCATCAGGCAGGGGCACCCTGGGGGTGGGGTGGCTGCAAGGACCGCCTCCCAGGGCTGGCCCTTCCCTCTGACCATGGCACCTTTCTCTGGCGAGAAAGGGACAGAGATGTCCTGATTCCTACACCACCCCGCGCCCCAGGCCTGACTTTGCATCTTAGGAGGTGCAATGGTTGGAACCAGGAGTCGGGGTGAGGTTCCATCCCCGCCACGTGGATGCTGGGACACTTGGGGCAGCTGTGGTGACCCCTCTGAGCCCAAGTCTTCTCACTTGTGAGCGAGGCTCCTCCACCCTTTCCCTCGGGGAGGACCTTCCAATCCCATCCCCCATACCCCCTCCTCCCAGCGCAGAGGGCAGTGAGGCAGAGCAGGCAAGACATGCCCAGGGTAGGGGGGTGGGGTTGAGGCAGCACCCCATGGGGGGCAGAGCTTTTACACTAATCGCCCTGCTGGGCCTCTCACAGCCCTGCAAGGAGGGGTTACTACCGATACCACCATGCTGTGATGTAGAGGTGGAAACTGAGGCAGGGCTGGGAAGGTATGTATTCCTGGGGCCAAGAGCACACTCCCTGCGGGGGTGTGCATCAGTGGGGGGCGTGTCTGCACCAGGGCCCAGCCGGTCCACACCCACTCACTCCTCCCTCCCCAGGGCACCCCGGGCCTCACTCACCCTTCAGCTTCTCCCCAAACATGGTCAGGAAAACTGTAAAGTTGATGGGCCCAGGGGCCTCCTTCACCATGGCCTCCAGCTCCTCGTTCTTCACATTGATGCGGCCTGGGGGTGGGGAGAAGAGGGGACACCCAGGGGCACAGTGAGGGTCAGAGGGCCACTGCCTACAGGCAGCCTGGGAGGACAGAGCGCAGGGCCACGGAGCCTCCTGTAGAGACTCCCAGCTCTCCCATCCCCCGGCCCCTTGCTGAACCTTAAGGCCCCACCCACCTGCTGGGGGCCCTCGGGATCGGGAGCACATCCAGTCAGCCAGCACTGGGCTGCCCCCAGCCTCACTGTCCCCTGCCACCACCTCAGCCTCCCTAAAAGGAGAGCAAGTTACTTGTTTGTCATCCCCGTGTTACAGATGAGGAAGCCGAAGCTCAAAGGAACTGAAGCTGAGGTGCAGAGGGGCTGGAAAACCTGGACCTCAGGCTCATTTGCCCCCAGAGGGGGCAACTGGTTGCCAGGAGGTCGGGACTCTGGGTTTGCTCATGGTTCCAGGAGACAACCAGATCTCCTGGAGCTCAAGCTCAGCCCAGACATGACTTGGTTCTGTCCGCTTCCCCCAACTTCAGCCCCCACCCCCACCCAGTCCCTGAGGCCCCCTTCAGGCCCCTCCCTGGGCCGTAGAGGGTGCAGAACCTCCCCCGGCAGCCGAGGCGTGGAACACTTGAGACTTGTGCGCATCTCCAGCCTCTCCCCTACCTGAAGCTCCCCAGCCTTCCACCCCTGACGTTTACACAGGCCGTTCCTGCAACTGAAACGCCCTCCCTCTTCCCTGGCAAGTCCTCCTCTAACAACCAGGAATCCTTCCTGACCTTTCCGGTGGTAGCCATGCCCTCCCTGCACCCCTAAATGACACATGAACCCCTCACAGCCACTGCTGCCCCCGCCTGCCACCAGCCACTTGCTCTTCCCAGACAGCCTGCTCTGTCCCAAGTCCACAGCCTCCCTGGCTGCTGGCCACCCACCCAGGGCAGCAAAGGTGTCCCTCAGGTCCTCCTTGTCGATGAAGCCATCCCGGTTCTGGTCCATGATGGTGAAGGCCTGGCAGAGACATGAGCACTGAAAAGTCACCTTCCCACCCACCCACCCAGGCCCTGCTTCCCTCGCCAGAAACAACCCCTCTCCCCAGGGGTCTGTCCTCCCGTAACCTGCTGCCCGGTCAACCTCCATGCAGGTCCCTCAAGCTACCAGGTTACCCGGCTCAGCAGGACACCAGCATGACAGCGATGACTAACCGGCGCTGAGCTCCTGCTGTGCGCCAGCAGACTGCTGGGGCTTCATGCCTATCCCCCATTTCATGTTCACAGCAACCCCCTTTTACAGAGAGCAAGACTGAGGCTCAGAGAGAGGAAGGGCTTTCCGGAGGTCACAGCAAACAAAGGCTCAGATAGAGAGGGGCCAGGGCTGCACGAGGACAGCAGTCACGTCTGCAGGTCCTCAGGCGCATCGTGGTGGCCTCCAAGAATAGAGACGTCATCATCCCTCAGGGACTGAGGGCTGAGCCCCCACCGTGCCGGCTCCCCAAGTGCTTTCTGTGCGCTATGTGAATCCTCCCAATGGCCCTGGGGGACACTGACCAACCTCTTTAAACTCCTGGATCTGGGACTGATCAAACATGGAGAAGACATTGGAGCTGGCTCCACCTTCGGTTCTTTTCCGGGCCCTTCTCGGTGCCTGTGAGGTATGAGGTGAGGCCTTGCAGAGGCCCCTTCCCTGGGAAGTGAGCCATTCACCACCTCCCGACCCTCAGGCATCGTCTCCCAGTGTCACTGTCCTCAATGACACACCCACCACCCTCCAGCCGGAAGCAGACAGCAGACAAAGCTCCTAATAAAGCCTTGCAGACAAGCAGGGTGGCTTCCCAGCCCACAGCAAGAAACCCACAGGAGCGCCCACCCTGCAGGTACAGCCAGCTGCTTCCTGACCTGGGCCCCCGGGCTCCGGAAGGCGGGTGGTTTGCTCCCAGGCTGTGAAGCAGAGAGGGGCATCTTTTCTAGCATCAGACCCCAAACGGGGCCCACCTCCGCTCCTGCCATCATCCCAGGTGTTTCCAGCATAACATTTGGGCTCCTCAGCCCTGCAAGATCTGTCTTTTGTCTCTTTCCCAGAGCTTCAAACCCCACCCACCTAGGTCCCACATTCTGTCCCAAACTGGCTTTGAGCTTTCTTCTCTCCCAACATTTGTTCCTGCCATTCCCACTACCTGGTATACCTTCCCTGCCTTCCTTCCCTCTGGCAGAAGTCTCATCCTCCAGGCTCAACTCCCCTGCCACCTCCTCTGAGAAGCCCTCCCTGACCCCCACGCCAATTTAGAGCTCCCTGGATTCTGCCCTCCCCACCAGTCGAGCACAGCCACACCCCATAGGATTACCGCACTGTCCTGCCGCATCTCTGAGGTCCCCTGTTCCACCCAGGGCCTGACTCAGAGTGGGAATCGGTTTGGAAATAGGGACCCAAAGCTCAGGGGTGAACTCCCCAGCAGGTAGAGCAAGCAACCACCCACGCTGAGTAATTCCAGGGTTTTTTTCAGGACGTCATGGTGCCTGGGAGTCCTCTATTGAACATGCATTGAAAACCCTCAGTCCTCAAGACCGTCTGAGGAGACATTGCCCGCAGCATCCGTCACTGGGGCCCCCATAATCAAAGAGTCTTCTTACCGGCTCAGAGTTGGAACAGACACAGGCTTCCTGCTCCCATCACCACCCCCGCCCCGGCCCCCGGCACCCAGCCCCTGCCTCCATCTCAGCCTGCACCACCCTCCTGCCAAGTCCTGTCTGCCCATCCCCAGAGCGTGTGCCCCCCACCCCTAGTGCTTGTGTGGTCTCCCTTCCCCCAGCTCACTCCTGTCCTACCACCCAACTTCCCCCACCCCTGCACTCGCCCCCACTTCCCTCCGGCGCCTGGGCTCACTTCAGGAGCAGCAGCACGGCTGACTTATAATTAGCTTTTACTGGGTGCTTTGTCTCCACTAATCCTTTGAAAGGGGGGCTGGCAGGGCAGCCAGGACGTTATGATGCTGTAAAACCTCTGTAATATTTATAAATCCCTTCAGACATCATAAAGAAAAGAACCTCCCTGCGGAGTTCATCTCACATAATTACATATACATTTCCCTCTGATTAATAAAAACGATCACTTCCGTCTGTGGGATATTTTGCCCTTTCCCTCCTCAGACCTGCCCTCTGCCTTGGCGTCCCCCATCCCTGCCTCACCCCAGCTTTCCAGGACCATCTTGTAACGCATTGCCCTATTGAGTGTCAGGTCTTGTCCGGAACACTCAAAAGGAGGACTGCAGAGGGGGAAACTGATCCCCCAACCTGGTCCCTTGGCAGCCTAGCTGTCTTGGGAAGTCCTGTTTATAATGTGCCCCTGAAAACTACAAATCCCCTGAAAAAAACGCCTGAGGGCAGAAGGGGGTAGCCCAGACCTGAGTTCTAATCCTGCCTTTGCTGTGTACAGCCTCTGTGATGTTAAGAAAATCAGTTATAGGCTCTAAGCCTTGGTTTCCCCATTTCCCTATCTCAAGGCATCAAGACATTTATTAGGTACCTGCTGATCTCCAGCCAGGCCCCGTGCCCAGACCCAGGGACCCAGAGCTGAATCAGGCCCCGTCCTTGTCCCCAAGGAGCCCACAGTCCAGCTGGGAGACAGACACTCTGAAGAGGGTGATAGAGGGAGGGACAGGCACTGAGAACACAGAGAAGCCCCCCTGCCACTGAGCAGTCGGGGTAGGCCGCCCGCGGCTTCTGAGCTGGAGTTTGATAGCCGAGTCAGAGTTTCTCCGGCCAGAGGGCCTGATGAGAGTGTGTGTGATGGGCCTGCGGGAACAGAGCCCTTGCAAGCACAGGGGCAGGGAGGACAGCAGGGCAGGCCCCACATGGGCTGAAGGACCTCCAAGCAAGGCCAGTAGGACCCAGGCTGTCCTGGAACCCCAACCCGATCCTCACAGGAGTCACGTCCTCTCAACAGGAGCAAAGCCCCGCTTCTGGCTTGAAAAGTCTAAGCCTGACCCACCTCGTCTTTCTCTACCTTCCTCTTCCTTGTCCGCCCCTTCACCTCAGCAGCCCCCACCCAATCCAGGAAAGCAGACCCAAATCAGGACCCACGTGGAAGGACTGGCCCCCCATCAAGGGCAGTCCCGGGTGGGCCAGGTGCAGGCATGACATCAAGGGTGAAGAAAAGGACAGGACCAGGGACATCAGGCCAAGGGCAAGGACGTCAATGAGAGGAGCAAGGTCAAGGTCAGGGTGAGTTCAGGCAATGAGGTGAAGGTCAGAATCACAAATGAAGTCAAGGTCACAGGATGAGGTCAGGGTCAGGAGGTGGGGCAGCCCTAGCCTACCATGGTCTGGAGTGCTCCCTCGCGCTGCAGCAGGGCTGGGGGAGTGCAGAGATGGCTCTTTAAATACTGTTCTGGGTCCGGACAACAGTTTGGAAGGTGACAAAGGACAGGATGGAGTCCTCCCTGCCAGACACCTGTCTGGGGCCATTCTGAGTGGGTGGCGCTTTGAGATCCAGAGACAGTCCAAGCCATGAAGATCTCCACCGGTGCTGGGCCAACTGGATCTTTGTATCCAAGGGCCCAGGGCCCAGGGCCCAGGGAGAGGCTCTTGGCTAAAGATGCACAGTCAGATACACAGCTGGGAAGACCTGGCCTTGGCCCTTGTCAGGATGGCAGAGCTCTCAGGACAGGGCCACCCACACCAGCTGGGGAAATGTCGAGCGGCAACATGGCCCGACCCCTCAAGCTGTGTGACTCTGGGTAGGACACCACCCTCCAGAAGGCTCAGTCCTCTCCTATGGAAAGCCTATGGCACCCCCTGGTCAGTTCTTGAAGAGGGTTTCTGCAGCAGCCTGGCCCTGTGTTTATATGCCGCCATCACCCACCCCAGCCTGGGCCCTCCTCGGGGAGTTGAAAAGCGAAGAGACCAAAGAAAAATGGAGGTGACTCTGATATGGGAGAATGGGAAAATCAGATCTCCATTCCACCCTGGCCCCCACACGTATCTGGACATGCCCCATCCTCTCCAGGCTAGGCCCAGCCCAAGAGCTCTCCAGCACATGTGCCAAGCTGAGCCTGCGTGTAGCCCTGGTAGGGCCCCCCATGTGTCCCCTTCAGCCCGGCTGCCCCATCTGTCCAGCCAAGTCAACCCCCGATCTGTATGATCGGCTGCCAGGGCCGGCAGTGCTGGGCTCAGGCAGTGAGCTCACCCTCCTGAGGCACAAGGCAGCTTAACCGTCCCCGGAGCTGGCTGCCGGCCTCCACACCCTGGTAAGACTGATCTCCTGCCTTAAGGGAGGAAACGTAATGATGATGATATGAAGAAGAGTAGTTAACATTTATTAAACACAGAAAGTCAGGCTATGTTCTCAAACATGTCTTCACACTCAATCGTTACCTCATTTTCCAGATGAGGAAACTGAGGCACACACAGATAAGTTGGCTGATCAAGGCCCTTCTTTCTAGTGGTTCCAGAAAGAAGTTTTGGAATGTCCTGCCTATACCAGTGCTCCCCTCCTAGAGCCATCCCAGATGGCTGCCTGTGACCAACCCCTCTGACCTCCCCGAGGCTGGTGACAGAAACCTCCCCGCTGAGCTGGAGCCAGGCCTTGCCATGCTGACCTCGATCGGGGACCGACCACAGGCCCCACAGCAGTCCAGGGCGAAGGGCACCTGCCTCCGGGGGCAGGAGCCTGGATTCCAGTCCCAGCCCCTCCTCGACCTGCTTCTGGAGACTGCGAGCGAGGCAGGTGCCTGCCCTTCTGGGCCTATGTGGAGGGGCAGGCAGCCACTGTCTGCACCAGCCCTGGGGAACAGCCTTTCCCTGCCCTGTCCAACAGCTTGGACCAAGTCCCCCTGGCTCTGGCCTTGCTGAGCAGGGGAGATGATGCCATCTGAGACTATACCTCCCGCTTCCTGCTGGCCGGAGGTCTCCTCACAAAACGACAGGATGCCCCTAAGCTCCTGCCTCCGGGGATCACAGCCCAGGACCATGGAGGGTCTACTGAGGGCTCAGGACAGCCCTGAGCCTGCCAGCCTGTGGAGGGGGGGAGAGAGGGAAATGCAGATGGGAATACGGTGAGGTGGGCGGAAGTCACAGCAGCGTTCACAAGTGCTTGGCAAATTAGTCCTGACAATTTCCTGCCCTGGCCTCCTTCTCCTTCATATCATGAAAGCAGGAAGAGCTGGTCAGAAATCTGGTGAAGCTCATGAAACCCCCAGGGAGAGAGGGTTGGGAAACATTTGTCCCTGGGGCACAGGAGTTGGGGGTATGGGGAACACGCAACAACCCTGAGAAGGGGAAGCTCTGGGCTCCACCCTCGCAGTGAGACCTTCACTCAGCAACACACAGACCCTCAGTTTCTGCATCTGAGAAATGGTGCCAGCAACCCAGCAACCTGGCCCAGTGCTGGTGGGAAGGAGGTGGGCACTGAAGTCACTGGCCGGGATTTGGAGGGCAGACCTCTCATGTGGATGGAGTCCTTGATGAAACCTCACTGCCACAGTCCCTCTCAGCCGTGTGGGTCTGTGGTGAGTCTGTTGCCATTGCTGGGTCCCATTGTTTGGCTCAACTGGCTGCTATGCTGAACTGACTACTGTGACAGACAATCCTTGGGGTCAGAGAGATGCCTGAGGGGTCTGTGCTCCCAGCCAAGGGCTGCTGGGAGCAAGCAGCCTCAGAACTGGAATTCCAAGTTGGCTCCAGTGAGTTAGAAGTGTACTCAGCCCCCTGTGAAGACCACCCCACTTTCCAGGCAGAGGGCAACCTGAGGTCCCAGGTGTGGCCAAGCCCAAAAGGAAACTTGAAAGAGACCAACTGTCTTAAGATGGCAGCCACCTCCCTGCCAGGTGACTGCTGTCACTCAGACCACTTGAGGACAACCTGGGGCAGATAACCTCACCTGTCACCCCTCACTCCTAATCTCTTGCCACTAACTCCTCACGGTGAGCAGTCTGTCCCCTGTCCTCTCAGGCCACAGCCCTTGGTCCCTGCCCTAGCCAGTCACCACCTTGACCTCCACTCGTTACAAATGC